TGTGTGGTGGGAAGGCCTCCCATCCAGGGTGCTCTTTGAGGAGCAGGGTCTGGCAAGGTTTCCCGTGGCAACGGCTGCAGGGGAGTAGCCATGCGTGATTGGAGTGATTGCTTTGAACACTGGAGATGGCAGAATCCCCTCTGCTGTCGTGCCTGCTCTGCCCTGGCAGGCTGAGGCAGCCCTTTGCATGGTGTACACAGCTTCTCCTGTTCTGTCACCTGCAGTCCTGAGCAGCCCACGCAGGTCTTTCAGAGGTTTCACACCTTATTGCTGCTGGCTTCTTCCTGTTGCTGGCTCTGTGCATCATCCATAGAACTGTAGAATCATTGTAGTTGGAAAAGAAGTCACTGACTGACTGCAAAACCCTTTTCTCTGCAAATGGTTCCCTTTCCTTTTGTCTTCACTAAGTGAAGCATCTCCACGTGGCAAGGTCCAGTGTTTCTCTTTGGTTTCTTCAGCATCTCTAGGCCTTTGTCTGCTCAGTTTGGTGTCATTGAAGAGTTTGTTCCCGTTTAGACACTACATTACCTTCCAGGGGGGAATTTCTTTCCTGGGTGTTGTGTGGTTCTCCCTCTTGTTCCTTTGTAAAGTCTTGTCTCCCTGCATGTTCTTAGGGAGTATATCTTCCCTTGCTGTGTTATCCTAGTGTTACTCCATGCTCTTTGCTAACCCTGCCTGACAATACTCTCCACGTTTCTCACTTTTAGGGAGATGAAGATGATGAGAACGCCCGGCCGCTGGCCGAGTCGTTGCTCCTTGCTGTTGCAGATCTGCTCTTCTGTCCAGACTTCACTGTGCAGAGCCACCGGAGGAGCACGGTGGTAAGATGAACCAGGAGATTATCTGCATAGAATTAGATTAGCTGCGTGGTGGGGGGTACCCTGGAGAAGCCCAGCAGCTTCTGCAAACCTACAGACAGGAAAATACGGAGTTGCTGAGCTTGAACCCACAGTTACAAATACTGATCAACGTTTTAGGTTCATTGTGGGGTGTTTGTGCCTTCTAAAACAGATGTTCTGAGTCAGCTGGGTGAATCTCAAATGGAGTGGCTGGTACTTAGCCACACACCAAAGCTTGCCCTGTGGCAAAAAACCACTCTTCTGTGGTTGCCAGTGGAGCAGAGACCTCATTCCTCTCACTGGCCGTTTGGGGCAGTGTGGGGCAGGAAACAGCTGTTTGCTGTGATCTGAATGAGGAGATGGTCGCTGTTGTGTCTTCCCACCTCATCTCCCTCTTTCTGTCACTGTAACGAAGACAAATGTGTGACTGTCTTTACTTCAGAGGAGTTTCCTGAAGCAGGGATCTCCTACCAGGTGTCCTGAGGACATATTCTGATGCACCTCCCTCCCTCCCTCCTACACCTACAGGTGGTGGTGGATAGTTGATGAAGCAGAAGTGAGTAAAAAGGAAGTGCCAGAACTGGGGGAGAATGAGCAAAGGAGTCCAGGAGTGACCCATACTCTTTTGCTGTTTTCCTCCTACTCAAGTCAGCCCTGAAATTATGGCTAGGAGTTGGGTCTGCCTCTGGCACCCACAGTGCCTGCATCTCTGGGCTTTATCACCTACTTGCAAAGGCTGAGCTCTTTTGAAGACAGCAGCACCTGCTTTTTAGGCCTGCTAGGCCTAAAGGGGAACTGCTCTAATGATGGCTGGTAAAGTGCTGTTGTCTCCTCATGGTCCTGCTTAGTCACACACAGTAGAAGCAGGTTTATTCATGTAATTGCATTTCTTTCCATGAAGCCTGTGCCTGGCAGGAGAAATTGAAGATCTGGTTGTGGAGGGTGGTCTCAGACTCTCCAGTCTCAGCAAGAGTTGTTTTGAGGAGCTTGCTCAGAAACCTAACAGCAGATGAGCTCCAGCCTTTCTATAGGAAGTGAGTAGCAAGGCAGGAAAAGCCACACTGTGGAGGGAGCTGCAGTTGCTTCTGTGTCAGCAGTAGCTCCTGTCGGCATGCTGGATTTGTGGGAGTCGTGGTTGGGGTGGTAAGTGCATCTTGGTTGCCCTCAAGTTCTGCTGTCCTGAGATTAGTACCTTTGTGGGAAGGAGGGAGGTTATGCAGTGGGAACCCAGAGCAATTAGAAAAAGTCCTCTGGTTTGCTTTCCACAAGTGCAAGGAGGAAAAAAGGCAGGCAGTAGACTTTGCTTAAATAAACTCCAGAAAAGAGCTAGCCAAAGTGTGCCAAGTGCACTCAGTGCAAACATATTCACCTTGGCCCTTGCTCCTGCTCATTCCTGGAGGGTTGGCAAGTGGTTTTCAATGGCTGCTTGTCTCCACAAGGCTGCTTCAACCCCGACTTGCCTGACCATGACAAAGAGGGGCAAACTGCTGTGGCTCATCTCCTTAGGTTCCAAAGCAAGAGTTTAGGAGTCGTGCCAGCAGCTGCCAAGGGACTGGGAAGGTTCTTACTAGGAGAAGTAACATTTGCAGTCACCTTCTTGCTTTACCCACTGAAAATCAAGTCACAGCCATATCTGCTTTTGTCATAAACGAGGATTAATTTGATGCTTCTCCTGCTTTTGTGGTGCAGCCATTGCAAGTCACCATGAGGTGGGCAAAACTCAACATGATGTACCCTGGGAGAGGGTTGGGGTATCAGCAGGACTGAACCCCTGGTGGTGCTCTTGATCTGCAGAGGAACAGCCCTGCCCTGCACTGTGTTCCATGAGATGATGGAGAGGAGATGATGGTGCATCCAGTAATGAGAACAGAATATATTTTGGAGCCTTTGGCACTGGGTGACCCTTGCCAGTGGAGGTGACTGGCATTGCACATCAGCATGCTACAGGAAGGGCCTCATTCTGCATGGTGCTCAGTACGTGTTGCAGATGAGAGGCCCTCTGTCAGGGGTGTTTCCTGGGTGAGGCTGATAGGTTCAGTCCAAGTGTTTGGGTGCTTCTCTGCTCGTTTCTTTGCTGTTGCTAAAGAGAGTGGCTGAGGAGCCTTGGATGCCACTAACGCTGTCCTTTGCTCTGGCCTTCTGTCGTCCAATCTCTTATTTCTTCCCCCAGGACACAGCAGAAGATATCCACTCCATTGACAGCTGTGAGTACATCTGGGAGGCAGGAGTGGGCTTTGCTCATTCTCCACAGCCTAACTACATCCATGACTTGAATAGGTAAGAGCTCTGCAAGGGCAGAGAGTGAAGATACTTGGCTTAGGAGAAAAGGATCTGGGGCAGAGGGGCAGATCTTCTTTCCTCCTTGGGTATCTGTGATTCCCAAGGGGCTTTTTCCTTTCTCTTTTCTGAGCAAACAGGACTGGCAACACAGGAAAAAAAAAACCTGACCTTTTGAATAGTTTCTTGTGGTATGACATGAGTGTCTGCAACAGGAGCTGGCAAAACATTGCTGCTTTGAAAATGCCTGGGAGCTCTGGACTGTATTTCTTTTCACAAGGCAGCACTTCTGCTGAGCTTTGTGCCAGTGACAGGAGTATTGCTTGTGAAATGAAATGGGCTTAGCCCTCTGTCGGGAGGACTTTCTAGATGGGACTGAGCCTTCCTTGTGTGTTGTTGTAGTAAGTGATTGTGCCTCCTGTGCCAAGTCCCTGCTCCTGAATGACTCCAGGCCTTGGCCCTCTTCTTCCTTTCTCTCAGGACAGAGCTGCTTAAGCTGCTGCTGACCTGTTTCTCTGAGGCCATGTATCTGCCTCCCTCCTCAGACAGCAGCAACACCAATCCCTGGGTGCAGTTCTTCTGCTCTACGGAGAACAGGTGAGGGTGAAGGGTGGGGGTCTGGGTGCCAGGGGGAGAAATACCTTCAGATCTCTCCAGGGAGCCTGTTGGTAATGGGGGACTGTAGGACTTGCTGCATCCAACGTCTAGGGGCTGTTGCCCTTTTTCTTTGTCCTTGTCTTATGTATGCCCCATTGGCATCTCTGCTTAGTGAGAGCTGTTCCTCAGCAGCAAAAGGAGGGGCAGCATGATGCTCCCTGGGGCTCGATGCAGGACTGATCCCTGGCCTGTGGGAAGGGGCAGGCGCTGTTCCCTGGTGGGGTGGCGGCGTGGTGCTGCGGTGGGTGCTGGTGGTGGCGGGATGCTGCCCTCTAGTGACATCGTCTCCTCCGGGGCTTTCACCTCCTCAGGTGACTGCTGCTTCTCTGGAGGAGCACAGTTCTGGCTGAAGGCAGACAAAACAGTTTTGTCTTTCCAGAGTCTAGAGAGCTTTATGGTCCCGTCACCTTTTCGATATCGCTGAACTGGATTCCTCTGGGAGGCCACAGGGCCTTTTTCACCCCTCTTCCCTCTCAGCTGTAGTCCAGGAGACCAGCTGAGGGCTGGAGTGTCAGCTCTTGTCTGTGGGCTGCTCAGTCATGGGCCACTGTCGTAGGTTAGAGAAAATGAACGTGTTTTATGCTGACCACAAACTCCTGGGGGGCAGAGGTGTCTGTCCCTACCCAGGGCAGCATTTTATGCTTCCTGCCTACTGCCTTCTGAGGACGTTTTCTTCTCCCCAGACACGCACTCCCACTCTTCACCTCTCTCCTGAACGTGGTGTGTGCCTACGACCCGGTGGGCTATGGGATCCCCTACAACCACCTGCTCTTCTCCGACTACCGCGAGCCCCTGGTGGAGGAGGCGGCCCAGGTCCTGATTGTCACTCTGGACTACGACAGCTCCACCAGTGCAAGTCCCACCGTGGATGGCACGACCACTGGCACGGCCATGGATGACGTGGATGTGAGTGACACTAGGGCCCGTATTTGCTGCTCTCTTGAACAGTGATCCTCTTACACCAACTTTGACTGTTGAGCTGTAGGGCCCAGCACCACTCTTCTTCCAGTCTGCATCTCTGGTCCAGTCTTGCTTCTTTCCTGTAGGTCACTAACAGCTGTACATGACCACACCACTGGGTTTTGGTCACTAACTCGAGCCAGGAGCATGTATGTGAAAAGCCTCTGACTTTACTGTTCCATGAAACAGTGCTCTGTCTCCTGGCTTTTAAAACAGGTTCATCGGGGAGGAAAGCTAAAATGAGAGAATAGCCTGCAGAGCCAGGGGTTACACTTTGACTTCCTGAGTAAAACCTTGTTGCCAGCAAGCATTTCACTCACTCATTTTCTTTGAACACAGCCTCCAGGACCAGACAATCTGTTTGTGAATTACCTCTCAAGAATACACCGAGAGGAGGTAACGTGCTCCTGTCCTGAACCATTTCCTGTCTGACTCCATGTGGGTTGCATTAGCTGGGGCCCACCGCAGTCTCTTTCCTGGTCTCTTGGCAGGATTTCCAGTTCATCCTGAAAGGAGTGGCCCGCTTGTTATCAAACCCGCTGGTCCAGACCTACCTGCCAAACTCTGCCAAGAAGATTCAGTTCCATCAGGAACTCCTTGTTCTTTTCTGGAAACTCTGTGACTTCAACAAGGTGTGGATCTGCTTCTTGCCCAGCTTTGCCCCACCTTGCCTGTTGCCCAGAGCCTGGCGTGGCTCTGGCTGGCCCGAGGCCTGCTGAAGAGCTGTGGGCAGGTAGTTGGCAGTGGCTCTGGCACTCTGGCCAGCAGCACTGAGCCCTGCTGCGTGGGCTGGGGGAGTCTGGCTGTGAGGAGAGCTTGTGAGAGAAGTGGCAGCTCCTGAGGGTCAGTGCTAGAGGCAAATGCTGGAGCAGGTGTTAACTCTGTTAGTAACCCTACAAATAACACTGGGGTTGAGGAGCTGGTACATACACCAGCCTTTCTAAAATTCTTGAGAGGCTAATTAGCTCAAGGCTACTTGTCCTGAGTCCGGTGGATGGTGCAGAAAACTGAATATGCTCGTGATTGTCTGAAATCCTCCCCTTTCTTACAGAAATTCCTCTTCTTTGTGCTAAAGAGCAGCGATGTTCTGGACATCCTTGTCCCAATCTTGTATTTTCTCAATGATGCCAGAGCAGACCAGTGTAAGTTTGTTATTTTCAATATTTGGGATGATCTGTGCTTGACAGTTGAGCTAGAATGGTTCTAAGATGCTTCCTCCCTACCACTGAGATGTGATAGGATCTTCTGTGTGTCTTTCTGACAGGCATGGAGTAGGGTGGTTCAGTTAGCTGGGTATTAGTGTTTGTAGCATACTGGAAGCAGGACAGGATCTATGCCACAACGCAGTGAAGGGAGATCCTCAGCATATGTTAACTCATTTTGAGTCCAAAAACTGTGTCCCTGATCCTATGAAGAGCTATCTGCTCTTGCCTTGGGTGTGAAATCAGGCATGACTCCATCACTGGGTGGTGGAAAGAAGCAGCCAGATCTTTCCTACCGTGGCAATGGGTTTACATCAGGAACGTAATGGAGAAAAGTGTGATCTGTCAAAGATTTAACAATGTATTGGCCCATAGATGTGCTTGGGAAGGACACTGGTACTGGCAGTGGAGGGAGCTCTGTGTGGGATGTGTCTTATCGGGATGATTCAGTCTGTGCAATTTTTCTTTCAGTCCCATGGTGTTTCTCCTCTCTCCTCTGCTGTCTTCAGGAGTCCACTGGCATCACTGTGACATGTAATAACTTTTTTGTTTCCTTTTTCCACAGCACGAGTGGGCTTGATGCACATTGGGGTGTTTATCCTCCTGCTCCTCAGTGGGGAGCGTAACTTCGGGGTGCGACTGAACAAGCCGTACTCTGTACGAGTGCCTATGGACATCCCTGTCTTCACAGGGACACATGCAGATCTGCTCATCATAGTGAGTACAGCTGTAGCAGTTCTCTTATGTCCCTCCCGAGTTCTGTTTCATACCTCCAGAAGTAACTGTCCTTCATCTTCCTTCAGTGTACTCATCCTTTGTAGATGGCCAGCCCACTGTGTAGCTGGAGTGTGTGTGGGACACATGCAAGCACTGGTGGCACCTTTGCATGCCGTTAACCCTTGGTGATGTGTCTGACAGGGTGTATATGTCTGAGAAGCAATTCCACCTGTGTGAGATGGTCCCAGGAACAGGATCCTGGGTGGTGCTGGGCTGGTGTCTAAAGGACTCTTGAATTGGCATGAGTGGGATGGGTACATGGTCTCCGCCAGACTTGATTGCAGGTGGTGAAGGCAGGAGATGTGGCTGCATGGCTGGCTCTGGCCCAAGTAACCAGAGTTGTGTGGAGCATGTTGTCAGAGTGGGGACACTGGTGCTACCGAGCTCAACCCTGCAGCTTTGGGTTTCATTCATCTTTCGGTCTGTGGTGCTGAGGGCCACAATACGGCCTACAAAGACCTGTGTGTTCTGCAGTGCCAGCCTCAGGTTACCCTCCTGTCACGTTAGTGCTTGTTTGCCAGAGAAGAATCTCTCAGCAGCTTCTGATAAACCTCCAAAAGGAGATTCCTGTTAGGAGTAAGACGAAAAGTGTCCACCAGCACTCTTCTTGATGCTAATGTATTTTGCTGTTACATTCTATTAATTTTAGATCATCTCTGTATTTTCATCATGCTGCAGGTCCTCTCTGCAGGCATGCCAGCTAGAAGTGGGAGGATCAAGATTAGAACTATCTGAACTGGTTGTGAGGCAGTTGAATCTTTCCATGGCTGAGGCTATAGTTAAGAAAAATAGGACAAACATTTGACTTAGAAGTTTCCACTAAAATCAAATGTGAAATGATTAGTTCTGTGGCATTTCAAGCAGCTATCATCAGAGGTCAGAGCTGAAATCCATTGGAGGCGAAGATGTTTCTTACTTTCTGGTGGTTTATTTTTGTCTCGGGCTGCCTGTGCGTTTTGGAACAGCTCAGAGTCAGTTTCTGTTTGGGGCCTTGTGGAGCCCTCATCACGTCCCCAGAGGATTCCTCGTAGGTGAGAGCTTGTGGGAGCTGATACTCCTGGAGCAGCAGTCTGCAGCCAGAGCAGCCTTCCCCACACCTGTGTAATTGTGGAGTGTGCAGGGCCCTGCCTAGGAAGGAGTGGTGTCGGGAGCGATTAGTGTGGGGGTGGCACTGGTTTTGGTTGAGAGGGTGCTTTCAGTGTGGTCCTCCCTTGCTCAAGAGCTCTGTCCTTACCGTAGGTCTTTCACAAGATCATAACCAGCGGGCATCAGCGGCTGGACCTGCTGCAGCCTATCTTTGACTGCCTGCTCACCATCGTTGTGAATGGTAAGCACTGGCTGGGGTGGAACCAAACCCCAGGGTGAACAGCTCTGGCTGCTCTCATTCCCTCTCCCTGCCCTCCTGCTTGTGCCCCCTAACACTGACCAGGGGTGGTGACTGCTGCTGGAAATGGAGCCTTTCTAGTCGGTGCTGGCTGCTGATCAGACCTGCCTGCAGGGTTATTGCCCGAGCTCCATCAGATGGGGCAGAGGGAGGGACAGCAGAGTCCCTGGAGCTCCTTTGGGGTGGCAGAAGGCCCGGTGAAGGATTGGCAGTGCTGTCTCTTTCCAGCAGGGAGTGCCACCTCCCCATGGTGGGTGGCTTCCCCTGGGCTTAGTGAGTGTCCAGGTGGCCCAGCTGTGTGAGCTCTTCAGGAGGCAAGTCAGAAATGATGTTACTAGTGTAAAACGGCAGAAGACCCTCTAAAAGCAGAAATGCCAGCTTTTGCTAGGCAATGCATCTGCTTCACTTCTGGCATGTTTGGAAATGTTTCTGTGGAACCCTGTTGGGCTTGACTGTCCCATAAGGTTTTCCCAGAAGTGCAGGGTGGGAGGGTGGTAAGAGCAACATTTTTAATGGTGAGTTTATATGAATAAATACACCTTGATTCTTTCTCCAGTTTTCATTTCTATGCCTTCCACAGTGTCTCCATACCTGAAGTCTCTCTCCATGGTAGCTGCTAACAAGTTACTGCATCTCCTGGAGGCTTTTTCCACCACCTGGTTCCTGTTCTCTGCTGTCCAGAACCACCATCTCGTTTTCTTCTTGCTGGAAGTTTTCAACAACATCATTCAGTACCAGTTTGATGGTAAGAGACTGTCTGCTGTATTTAGTGGGTTTTCACTAGCTTAGTCCAGGAGAACATGAGATGGAAGTTCAGAGAAAGTCCAAACAGATAAGAACAGGGGAGCAATGTGGAAACCAGATACATGGAGACTTGCCTGGGATTGAGAAGCTGGGTTAGTAGGTAATCGGTGTTGGGTCCTGACCCAGACAGATTGGGTTAGAGCAAGTTGAGATGGCACATAATTATCAACATAACCTCAGTGTCCTGCAGATCAGAAGATGAAATGGGTAGAGGGGAAGGAGGGAAAGTGGGTGTGTAACACTTTAAGTTGTGACTGGCTGGATGCTGCTGTGAAACTCCTCTTGTTACTCAGCAACGTAGGTGAGGGACAACACAACTTCCATGTGCTTATGTGTTTAAAAATGCCTTAGTTCTGCTCTGGCCGGTCACTGGAGACAAAGACCAAACTGTTCTATCCAAACAAAGTTCTGGCACTTGCTACCTTTGCAGGAAATTCCTCATGCTTACCCTCTTAAAAGTATGACAGTCTTTAACTCAAAGAACTAATGGAGTGAGGTCTCAACCTGCTCAAAATCTAATGTTTTAGTTTAGAACTGCACATCAGGAGTGGCCATTCTGCTTCCCTAATGGAAATCTTGCAAGTGATGGTTGCCAGAGCCTAAAACAGCCTTTGTGGCTGTGATTTGTTTTTTTTTTTTTTATTTTAGGTGATGGTTTCACTCTGTTCTCTGCCACCTTGCAGACAGTAAGAATTCTGTCCTTCTGGCTTTGCTGTTTCAAGCCTGTTTCTTTTCAGGACTGGAATGCCCCTGATTTGTTTTGTGAATTGTTTTGAAGATGGGGAAATGTTGAATATTGGCTAACAACCTTTTCTTCCAAAATAGGTGCTAATATGTGGTTTAAACTGTCCTTTTCCTTCTCAGTTGTTTGAATGTATAAGCCTCTTCCAGCCTAGGAAGGATTTCACTGAATTTCCTGTACTGCTTTGTAATGGGTACAAAGATATCAAGCTCTGCCCCTTCTTCCTCGTGCCATCGCCTCTGTGGGTGGAAGCACAGCTCTCTGAGTTTTTGGTACCCGGTGAGCTGTGCCATACTGGCAGAGCTCTTACAGTCTTACCTCTCTGCTCGTTTTGTTGCTGTGATTCCCAGGGAACTCAAACTTGGTCTACGCTGTGATCCGCAAGCGGAACGTGTTCCACCAGCTGGCCAACTTGCCCACGGACTCCCAGTCCATCCAGAAGGGTCTGCAGCGCAAGAAGAGAACTCCCGAGCCCATCTCCCGCACCAACTCCCAGGACGGGGTCTCCATGGAAGGGTCACGTCCTGCTGCCCCAGGTTTGGTGGCTACTCCAGGTCAGCTTTAGTTTACCTCTGTAACAGGAGAGAGGTTGGTTTTGTCTGTGAGATACGGTGTGGACTCACCCTTTCACTGGGTGTGGGAGAGATTAGGAGTTTACATCTGTCAGTCACTTACTGCCTTTCAGCCTGAGTTTCAGATCAGTTTGCTTAAGCTGGTCACAAGCGAGTCAAAGCAAACTGTTTTGAGTTTCTCTTTTCTCAGGCTTAGTGTCCATGTGGCCACTTATCTTGCCCTTTTGCTACAGTTTAACTAGATCCATGTGAACCTGCATTCCTTTTGCATCAGGGAGCACGTTCCTAGAGACAAACAAACTCATTTGGGGTGGTGAAATCAAGGCGAGATCTTGTTTCTGCTGTTGAAAGGAGAGCGTTTCAGCTGTCAGCAGATACACGGGGTGCCCCATGGTAGGGCAGTGAGGAACCCTCTGCTTTTAAGTGTATTTAGTTCACCTGTATATCTGAGGGTTTTCTCTTTTGAATGCAGGAATTGACAAGCTCACAGAGAAGTCACAGGTGTCAGAGGATGGGACCATGCGTTCGCTGGAGCCCGAGTCTTCACAGCCTCCTGCAGAGGGAAACCTGCCCTCGGCCGCGAGCGACGGGGAGCCCTGGGGCGGGGGAGTAAGGCCAGGCTCTGGTGTGCAGGGGAGGGCTGGGTGTGGAATGGACTGAAGTGGGGGACTTGGAAGGAGAGGTCTCGTTGGCCCACTGAAGAAAACCTTCATATTAGAGGCAAGAGAAAATGTAGCAGAGCAGGCTGAAGACTCTTAAATTTTACCCTTATGTCCTGATCCTCTCTGCTTGTTCTGTGTGTGTGTGTGTGCGTGTGGGCCTTTGGTCTCAGACAGGCAGTTGCCTATTAGCTGCCTGTGTTCCCTGTCTCCAGCAATGCTGTCTGTGTGTCTGAATGTGTGTGGGGTGGGGACCAAAAAGCAGACAGGAGGTGGAAAGCAGTAATGCAGTGGGTGTGGGAAAAATCACAGGTAGCACACACCTGTCTCCAGGGGTTGTGGTGTTTCAGCTCTCTGAACGTTGTCTTCTCTGTGCTGCAGCTTGATTCCAACCTACTGAGTTAAATTAATAAGAGATACTGGATAGATTTTAGGGATACTGACTCTTACAACTGATGTAATTTCCCTCCTTTATCTGTTGTAATGTTCTCACCTTATCAGTCATAACCATTTCAAATGTGTCTTGTGAAGTGTTCAACAACATTCATATTTCAGTGTCCTTCCATCTTACCTCTGCTAAATGTGTCAGCTGGCTGCCAGTCTTTGACTGGCAGCTGTGAGGGGGCAAGGGCTGTGGGAGAGTGAGGAGGAAAGAGGATGAGGGTGGCGTCATCTGAAGGAAATCAGACTCTTTTATGTTTTTATGAATTTTATTTGTAGAAGCTTGATGAGGACACGGCACTGAAGCTGAACAGGCTGAACAATAAGGTTGTAGCTGCAAACACTGCAAAATAATATTGCTGTTTAGGCTTTGAAAAAAATTGAATGAACAGAATTCCTGAATGTCCTGAGAACAGTTTTACTTGCCTTTCCTGGCCTTCCCTGGTACCAGATGAAGGCCCATGATCAGCAAGATGTCTTAAGCATACAACTAATGTGTTATCATCTTGGCTGAGAACTCGCAGAATAAGAGTTTTCTTCTTCCATAGGCCCAGGAAATATAATCATGGGTCATTCCATCTCTGTGTCCAGCAGCTGACTTGAGCTGTTGCCCAGTCAGAAACAAACTGGTAGAGCACTTCTTCCAGTGGGTTGCAGCACACCTCTGCCCCAAGCCTGCTGTTTATGGTTGTGAAGGTGATGTGTGAGTGAGTCCATGCACATGGAGGTGCAGGACAGCTCTTGAAAGGAGAGAAAGGAATAGTCCCTTTTGTTTTGTAGAAAAGTCAGCTCTAGGCTGTAGTCCTGAATGGTCAGGGTGCACTGCAGGAGGAAAAAAACTCTCCATTTTTACCTCATACAGAGATTGATGGTGATTTTAAAGGGTTACTTCCTTCCTTCCCACCATGAGTAGGAAAGCTGTGGTGTTGGTAATGTCCTCTGTATAAGAGAGATGAAAACAGAGTGATGGAAAGAAGAAATAAGAGAAAACTGGAGACTTTTGACCAGAGCTTTCCAAAAAGTGACTAATGATGGTGCTTATCTTTGGGGGTATGGGTGTGTCATTCCTTGAGGGGCAGGGGTTGTTAAGTAGGAGTTGCCAAAAGCCTACCCTTGGAAAAATGCTCTTTAAGATATTCCAGGGTGGGCACCAGAAGTCCCAGAAATACTCAGTAGACAGAGGTCTGAAAAGCTGTGGCCTCTGACTGTTAAATCCCTGTGCTAAAAGAAAGAAGTGTGCCTGAGCAGTCTTCTGTCAGTCCTGTTTCAACTCCTCACTGTGGATTGTTCCAACAGTGTGTCAGCAGTGGTGACTGGACTTGTGGCCTTGCCACAGGATCCTGCAACTTAAACCCATCAAATATTGCCACTCACTGGCTCAAAGCAAATGGTTTTGTTGAGTGAAGTCCTGGTGGGTTTGATTTGTTCTTGGGACAGGCTGGGTGGTCTTTCCCAGCAGCGCTCTGGAAAAGCTGGAGGAAAGTCACCAGAAAATAGGTCGAATTTCTGGATTAAGTGGTGTGTATTTTTTTTTTTGTGTGGTTTTCTTTTTTTTTTCTTGTTTGTGATTTTTGAAATGGTATTTCCTGATAGGAGGCATCACAACCCCGCCGGGACCGAAGGCGTCTCTCTAGTGCATCCTACAGCGGACAGTGGACCCCAACTCCTGACTGGGTAAGGGAATCTGGACAGAGGAAATCAATAATAGGAAAAAGAGTTGTGGCAGAAATAGCTCCCCTCGCCCCCCACCTCATTCTCCTGCCAGCAGGGCATTTCCTCACAGGGAGTGTCTTTGACTTGTGTTCAAAGTTCCAGAAGTTGACTACCATCTGCAAAGAAGTATTTTGTTTCACCTGCTTTAAGCCGATGCCCCACGGGTTTCATTTTGTGGCTCCTAATTCTAGAGCTCCAGAATGTATTGTATTGCTGTTGTGCACTCAGTGCATCCACTACCTTTGTGATTTTTGTAAGCCTCACTTGTTGTAGATATAGTGGAAATAAGTGGAGCAGGAACTATGAATGCAGCGCACTGATTTCCCTGTGGGCTTTCCTACTTACAGGTGATGTCCTGGAAGTCAAAGCTTCCCCTGCAGACAATCATGCGGCTTTTACAGGTGCTGGTTCCTCAGGTGGAGAAGATCTGCATAGACAAGTAAGTCCATTTTTGGAGAGAAAGGGCTGTACAGTGTATAAAGGGCTCTGTGAGCTTTGTAGAGGTTGATGAAATTGAAGGGTCCCTAGGGGAAACATTGCAAAATACAACTGAAAGCATCACAGTCACAGCAGAGGGAACGTTATTTTGCTTTCCAAGCTTCCTGTTTGCCTGATCCCTTCTCAGCTGTTCCTTGTGGTGGAGAGGGTGTGTCATCTTGGTGGCCGTGGTTGCCAGCTCTGTTTGTTTAGACTGACACTTCATGCTGCAGGAGTTTTGTGGGTGTTTGTGGGACATGCCAAAGCTGTTCCTGGTCCGTGTCTTTGCAGGGGTCTCACTGATGAGTCGGAGATCCTCAAGTTCTTGCAGCATGGCACGCTGGTGGGGCTGCTGCCTGTCCCTCACCCCATCCTCATTCGCAAGTACCAGGCTAACTCGGGCACTGCCATGTGGTTCCGGACCTACATGTGGGGAGTTATTTATTTGAGGTAAACATCAAAAAAAAAAGTCTAACTTGGTCTTTTCTGAACTTTTAGGGGGGCTGTAGAGAGAATTGCATGTACTTGGCCAGCTTTGGATTGTCTCGTATTTACAGGATAGAAAGATGATGTTCCCTTGGAAGAGAGGAGAGTAAATGAGCTGCTTCAAAACTTAGTTTGAGTAGTCTAACATCCTAGTTTAGATGTGAAGGGAGTTGTTCTGGGAGTACTGCTTGTTTGGGAACTGGCAGCAGCAGGGAATACAAAAGCTGCCAGGAGGGGATGGTGCAGAGATTTGATGCAAAGCTCTGGCTTTGTGGGATATTGTAGGTACTGTCATCCCTTTAAGGTGCATTGACTCTCAACCAGTGACCTCTGCCTTTGCAAAGCTGAAGGCATTCTCTGTAGTCTGTATTCTGATTACTCCTGTAATCTTGGCTGTGATTTGAATTCCATGTACCTGGCCACAGAGAGTAAAGTGCCTCTTGTCTTTCTCTCTCAGGAATGTGGATCCCCCTATCTGGTATGACACAGATGTGAAGCTGTTTGAAATTCAACGGGTCTAAGAGAGCACTTACCTCTACTAAGAGAAAGACACTGGATCTAAGGACTGCTGTGTGCTGCTTCCTCACAGCTATTCCTGCGTTTCACATCCAGCTGAGAGACCAAAAGGACAATCACTTCATTTACCTCCCTGTCATTTAAAGCTTTAATTGGGACCTGCTTGGACATCCCTCCCCCCAGCTCACTGCTTTTCCCTCACCCTTCACGGTGAACCTTGAGTGACAGACGTCTATGGGATTGTCCATTGTAGTGGTTGCACTAGAAATCTGATTGTTCTTAGCTCTTCTGTTACTCTTTTGCTCCTGGATGTGGTTTGGAAACGAACCTGACCCTGTCCTTGCCCTGGTCAGAGTCAGCACTTAATTGAAAAAGACTAGCTGTAAATTGGGTGCAAGGGAGAAGCTGCTATTCCTGCAGGAGGTGGGGTTTGGAAACTGCAGTTGCTTTCACGTGGCTCCATAGAGTTTCCAGGGCATCCCTTCTGGCTGCAGGTGTCTCCCTGGTGTCTCAGTTCCATATTGGTAGGGAAGTGTTTTCTCATCCAGATGAAAGGAGAAACTGATGAAGGAAAACTGTGTCTCAGTTCTGAATCTCTCTACTCCTTTCCTGGAGAGGTGCTTATAGAAGTTTTCTAGCAGCTGGTGCTTTGGTGTGGCATGAGAAGTTTTCCCTCAGCTTCCAGGCCCAGCCTGTCCTTCACGGTGGGCTGTTGCAGGGGAGTGTGTGTCACTTGGGAAAGCCCTGCTTAAATCCATGAGAGCACATGGGAGGATTGGACTGGCTCCAAGAGCAAGGAGAAGGGACGTGACTGTTTGAAAAAGAAGACTTTTTGGTCTTCTCCTGTTGGCTGAAAGGACAGTGTCACCTGGATTTGAAAGGAACTGTATCCTTCCATCTTCACCTGGCAGGCTGATGCCCTGCAGGGAGTGGAAGGGTCTTTTGCACGCTACTGTCTGAGGCAGGGGATTGAGGGAGACACTCAGGGAAGTTTTAGGAGGAATTTGGAAGCTGTAGGAGGAAAAGCATCTCCATGTCAGTAGGGAGTGGAGAGTGCTGAGGCAAAATTCGGTTCTTCAGGGCATTTTGCCTAGCGACCAACTTATCTGATCTTGAATGTACTGGGTCCCAGTCATGGAAGTCTGGGAAGCCAGAGTTGGAGCTGGTGGGAAACCAGCTGTTGCTGGCTTGGGTT